TTATCTGTTCACTCTTTTCATCCAATAGTGGTGATGTTTGAGAAGTTACAGACCCAAGACTGCGGTCTAAGCTATTTCCTTAACATCTATAGGACAGCTTTAGTTAAAAATGCCATGGCAATCATACGCCAGATTTTTCTCTTAATACTTAGTATAGTTTAAGCAGGTAAAGACTCACATGGAATCCACAATCTTCTTGGTCAGTGATTCATCCAAGCCTTTTTTCAGGCTTTCTACAAGTACATCAGACATTACAAGTGTGGGTAAACGGTCATTTTTATTGTCTTCTTCTTCATCATCATCCTCTTCAAGGACTAGCCTAAGGCAAATAGATATATTGACAATGGAATTTTAAATAACACAAGTCGAATGTACAAGTCACTATTTATTAGAAGCACCAACTATTTGTAAGCATGCTTTTTTTGTGGATTACTTATGCAGCTCAGCAACATGCAACTTTGGAAGAGACCCTTCTACTGAAGTATTAAAAATGACTACAAACGCCACTATGATATCCTTACAAAAACCCAACCATTACAAACTAACTGTTCAAAGAGCAGACACACTGCTAGTAATTTGTTAAGGACTAAAGCGGATCTAGTTCATTAGTTGTTAAACTGTGTCCAAAAAAGAAAGATGAAACAATATATAGAAGCTTACCAGTTCTTAATGTGGTGACTGCATGAGGCTTATTTTATTCTTATAGTCCCATTTTTGCAGCATGTTCCCTGTCCAAGGATGACAACACTCGGATCTATAGAGAAGCAGCAGTGTTACCCTAGGCTGCTCTCCTGATTTGGACTACAAACACTTTCTGCTCTCATCTCCATTACATAGTGCACAGCAGATAGCATTATTGGAGTTTGTAACTTCCTGCGCTGAAGTGAAATCTCAAAGGACACAGTATTTCAAGCACAATGAGGATTTTTTTCTGTACTTGCAGAAAATTCTGTGTTTAAAAAACCCACTAATGCAACCACCACATGTAAGACAAAGGATGTGTTCTTGGGTTTAGATATACATTAATGTCAAATTATATACTTTACCTGCTTTCAATATCCCTAATTCTTCTAAGAGCAGCATCAGACTGAGATTCTATAGTGGTTTCATCCATGCCCTCAGCAAGGGCTGCCTGCATCTCAGGTGATGGTATACACAGTGATGGAGCTACAGCTGTTCGTGTGACTTGTGAAAGGCTCGGGCTCCAACGGGGCTGTGATGCATCTCCAGTATAAGTGGTTCGAGCTTGACATCCTTCAAGAACAGGAGACACACAGAGCTTCCTCCTCTTTGATGGACAGCTAAAAAATTAAAACAAAAAAAACCCCACACACATCAATTTCCAATATAGACAAAGACAGAAAAGTTACAACCCAACAGAAGTTATAACTGGTAAAACTCTTAAATTGGCTGGCATTCTACGTTAATGTAGACATGAACCCTTTAACAATTTTTATACATGGCATGTTACCTTAAAAAGGACACTGTCAGAAGGGAAGAGAGTGGTCATCACTGGCCTCCTGAAGAAAATGCTATTTGCGTAGACTTAATTGATTTCAAGTAACAGACCCAGATCTAGCATGCTGTAAATAAGTGCCAGAATTCCTCATCTCTGTTCTGGGTCAGTGACTTAAACTTAAAACTCCAGCATGACAGTCTGAGAACTAACATTCTCAAAAGTAGAGTTCAGCGATGGCATCCTTCACGATTTTCACATGGCAGTCACCATGTCTGCCTACCTCTGACATTCCGTGGCGTGTAAAGTGCTCCCGTTTGGGAGCACATCACCAGTATTGGTAGCCACCCCTTATGCCTTCTTGATATGCAGGCAGGGCCGGTTCAAGGATTTTTGCCTACACAGGCGAAAGAGCATTTTTGCTTGTATTTGAGCCATGGACTTCACAAGCAAGGTTGACAACATTGCTTACAGTGTCAGTGCAGCAGTAGCTTGTAAAACCCCAGCCACTTGAAAAATTATGATAAATGTATTATTAGGATAGCGCTGTTTGCCACTGCACCCAAAGCAAATGGTCTGGAACACTATTATATTAGGTACATACTGCAGTACTGACAGATCTAATACCACCAACTCCTTCAAAAAGGGGGGACATATAACCCAACAAAGCATGTTGGTTATGCTTTTATGTCATGCACTATTGAAATGATCATCATTCTTCAAGCACAGAGCTCCTCACCCACCTTCACAAGCTGAAGGGACCCACATTTCTCAGACCCTTCACAACTTGAACTGCCATAGACCCACTCACCACTGGCAAGGGCTAGCACTACCTCCCCTGTAAACTGTTTAGCTCTAAATGCAGCAGTGTCAGCATTGTTAGCTCATAGTGGGAAGGTACTACAGCCTGTATTTTTGGCAGGATTAATACGCATCTTTTACTACTAACTATGGTCTGACAAACAAACAAAAAATAAATACAAAATAGGATTTTTGTACTCCCTGTAAAATCCTTCTCTGTTCATTGAAGGACAAGGTTTAGATTGAAGATCATGTACCGTAGGGTATATTGCCACCTGCAGGAGAAGGACACTAGGCACAAAACAAAAGACAACCTAGGGGCAGCCTCTGCTGGTGGCCAAATCCCCCACCTGCTTACAAGTCTCCAGTAAGTAACAAGCAGTTAGGAGTGTACACCCCAATAAAGAGGGCGGGACCTGTGTCCTTTAATGAACGGAGAGAAAAGGATTTTACGGCGAGTACAAAAATCCTATTTTCTCTTCCGTTCATTGAAGGACACAGGGAACAGATCGTAGATCATGTATCGTAGGGACGTCACAAGCAGTAACAGGCAGGGGTGGGCAACAAAAAAAAACAAATTCCCCAACAGAGACCCCACTAAAGGGCCACCTGTATAACCTTGCTCCCCAAGCAAGCATACGCAGATGCCCAAACATCGACCTTATAAAACTTGGCAAAGGTGTGAACAGAAGACCAAGTGGCGGCCTTACAAACTTGAGAAACAGGTGATGACTAAAAGCCCAATATGCCCCAAAAGCCCTGGTAGAATGGGCGGTAACAGAAAAGGGAGCCTAACGCCCCTTAATGGCATAAGCATGAACAATCGTGCCACGAATCCATCGAGAGATGGAACCTGAAGACCCAGCCCGGCCCTTCCGAAACCATAAACAAGGAATCCGACTCATGGAAAGAAGCAGTAGCATCCAAACACGGAGTGCATAAACCACATTCAAACAGTGCAGTGCCCTCTCCTTCATATGAACAGGCTTCGGACATAAAGGCAAAACGTTGTCCTCATTCAGATGAAACGCTGAAACAACCTTAGGCATGAAAGACGGCCAAGGACGTAGAACATTGTCTCTATGAAGGACCGACAAGGTCTCCAACTCCGAAACCCTGCGAAGTGAAGTAATCGCCACAAAAAAGGCCACCTTTTGGGACAAAGTCAGAAGCATGATCCCCCTAACAGGTCAAAGGGAGACTCCTGCAAAACCGAGAGCACCAAATTCAGATACCAAGGCGACGAGAGACCGGACAGGAGGAACAATACGTGTAATCCCCTGTGCAAAAAGGTGCAAACCAAGGCATTTGACGCCAAAGGCTGCTCGAAAAGGTCAGGGCAGAAACTTGGCCAAACCTTGATCCACTTCATGTTGCAGAATCGCAAGAATTCCGCTCAGAGAAAAAACTTGGAGCCAGATCCCCAGCCTCACACCGAGCAAAGTAGGCCTTCCACGTGCTGTGTAAATCTTTCTAGAAAATGGCCTTGCAAGCCCTGAGCATCGTGAAGATAACTGCATCCGACAAACCACAGTCCTTCAACACCTGGCTCTCAACAGCCACGTCGCTAAAGCCAGCAATTGTAAAGAAGGATGGAACATGGGGCCCTGGGACAGAAGATCCGGACGAAGTGGCAGCCGACAGGGAACGTCCGCGACCAACCGAACCACATCTGTGTACCACGTTCTCCGAAGCCACCAAACGAGGGAAACTCTCATGCCCGAGACACCCGAACTGCCCTGTCCAGCGACAATGGGAGCTTGTCCCACTGCGACAAGATGTCCCTCTGTAGAGTCCTGGTGTGATGCTGCACGTAAGGGACCGCCTCAAAAAAAAAAAAAGGAGGCTACCATGAGGCCCAGCAGCTGCATGCAGAAGGGGATAGTCTACCACCGACGAGACCGTCACAACCTCACGTGAGAACGAAGTTTCAGGAGTTTTTCAGGAGGGAGGAAAAACCCAGGCCAGAACAGTGTCGAGAATCAGACCCAGATGATCAAGACGCGGGGACGGCACCAGACAGGACTTCTTGAAGTTCAGAATCCATCCGAACTCCTACAAGGACCGCACGGTGATTGCAAGATCCAGCACCAGAGAGGAATGTGACTCCGCCTTCAAGAGAAGGTCATCCAGATACCCTACAATCAAGATTCCGCGACAGAGCAACAACACCAGAACCAACACCTTGGTGAAAACACGAGGTGGCGACGCCAGACCGAAAGGCAGAGCCACAAACTGGAATTGCTCCCCCCCACTGCAAACCGAAGAGAACGCTGATGGTAAAGACAAATGTGGACATGAAGGTAGGCATCCTTGATGTCAAAGCCAGAAGGTCGCCCTGATGGAGACACACCACTATGGATCTGAGATTCCATCCGAAACCTGCAGACCCGCACAAAAGGTGTTCAATCGTTGGAGGTCTAGGATGGGCCCAACCCCCTCTTTCTTGGGCACAGTAAACAGACTTGAATCAAATTCTCTGAACCTCTCCGAGAAAGGCAGCGGAACGATCACCCTGAGACAAGATGTCCGTCACCGTGCAGTGAAGATCTGTGTGCCGTTGTGGAAAGAAGAGCGTGTTGGAAGGGAAAAAACCTGTCTCCAGGACAAGACAGAAATTCTATCTTGTAGCCCGAAGAAACCAGCTCCCGCACCCAGCTGTCAGAAACACGAGACAACCAAAGACCTGCAAAGAGCCGAAGACACCCCCCACCATGGAAACCAGAGATGGGGGCAGACCTTCATGCAGAAGGGGGCTTGCTGGGGGAGCTTGGAAGACTTAGGTTGCCAGGGGCGCTTGGAGAACTTATCGCTTCTCAGAGGACAGAGGTGGGCGAAAAAGCCACTTATGAGCGGAGGAGAAGGAGGGACTGGGCTTCTGACTTTGTTGCTTAGGCTTCCTAGCCTGAGGCAGATCGGTACTCTTACCGCCAATCAGATCCTTAATGATCTCATCCAGCGTAGCTCCAGTACAAACGATCCCCGGTAAAGGGAAGCTCCGTCAGAGCCTACTTGGAAGCTTGATCAGCTGACCAGCACTTAAGCCAAAGCAGCCAGCGAAGCATAACTGCCAACACTGAAAGTTTGGACACCAACGGCGCAGCATCCAATGCCGCGTTACAAACATATTTCAGGCCCTGCACTAACTGTTCCGCCAGCTCAACATAGGCGGGAGAAACGGTCTCATCGACAAGGCCCTGGTGCAACATTTTTGCCCATTCTGTCAGTCTAAGAGACTAAGGTCGAGGCTAAAACCAGACACATGAGAGCACCTGAGACGAAATACATAGTCTGTGAAACAGCCTCCGCCTTCCTAGGAAGGAGAATCCTCCACCGGAATAACAGTAGCTTTGTTAAGGCACGAGACTAGGAGGATCCACTGCCAGAGGAGACACCCACTTAGTAAAAAAGGACACCTCAAAAAGGATAGCGAACAAAGAAACGCTTAGGCAACGAGAAAGCCTTAGTCGGTCGCTTCCACTCCTTGTAAATGATCATCAAAGAAGGAGATGTTGAGCACAGAAGAACTCTGAGTGTCCTCAATCTTGACCGTCTCCCTGACCGAAAGAATCAGAACAGAGACCGATTTGCACTTCTGAACCGCCACCGAACAAGACCGGCCCAGTGGGAGGAAATTACGTCACCGGGGAGGGCATCTGCACTCAAAGATGGGGGCCACGGACTCCACCAAGGCCAGAACAGAACTTGGGGGCTCAAGTAGCGGTCGCCTGCCGCACAGGTGGCCGAACAGCATACAACCGCAACGCTACACCTCCAGAGCTGCACTCCGCTCACTCCCAGGCCCCCCACACCAGCCCAAAGGCCACAGGGAGACCAGGACACCAGGCTGGCCGTAGCACCACATCAAGACCTAATCCAGCAGCTCCTAAGAAGGGGAGGGGGGGTCACGGCGTGACAGGAACCCGCGGCCCCCAGTAACGGGACCCAGACCAGAGCATCTCTCCATAGTCACCCTCAAAAGCAGGGACCCCCACTAAAATGGAGATGTCCATGCACCAGGAAAGGCAGTCAAGAGTCCCTCCGCACAGCCCCTGGCAGACCCCCCATACACACCATACCAGGTGGAAACGTTCAGACCCCAGCAAGTTCACATGGAAGCAGAGCACCGCAAACGGGGCGTGTGGGGAAGGCAGAAAACGCCCCCGACCTCAGTGGCAGTGCTGTAACTGGCAGGACGAGACCCCCAGTCATATGCACACCACTAGGACAAACCCACAGGCATCGAAACCTAGTCATCGCAGCCGACCCACCCGTGGCAGAGTCTGCATGTGCTCGCAGGTCGCACAGGGGAGACTACAAGGATCCACAATGTTCCAGCATGTCGCCGTAACGACACTTGCTTAAAGATTCAGAAAAAAAAAAAAGAGAAAACACAAAGAATTTCCAGAGAAAAATGTCTTAACTCCTTACACTAGACAAAAAACTGGAGACTTGTCAGCAGGGTGGGGGGGGGTGAGATTGGCTGTCTGTTTTTTGCCTAGCATCCTTCCCCTGCAGGTGGCGATATACCTCCCTCACCTGTTCACGTCTTTTGCAGGGAGGAGGCTGTGAGGCGGATCGATCCCTGGTGATCTAGGGGTAGATTAGCGAGGTCTGCAGACCTCACTAATACATCCTTTTCTTTCGGCCGGAGCTCAGAACTGTCAGAGCTCCGGCCGAAGGAAAGCGGAGCTGACAAGAGCAGTTCTGCGGTCTGCATCCGACACAGATGCAGACCATGGAGCTGCTCCCGCAAGTCAGGTACGCGGTCTGTGAACGTGTGCCTGACATGTCAGCTGGCTGCGGGCCACATAGTACCACTCGCCCTCAATTTATTTTTACTCGCCAAAAGAAAGTGGAAATTTTGAGCCCTGCCCTACAGTACATCATCTTCCATCTGTTCCCTGTGACCTTCAATGAACAGAAGTGAAAAAAATAAAAATAAGTAGACAATGCGCATGTGTGGGCAAGTTCTGCACAAGCTATGCATAGACTTTTGACCACACATACACTTTAAAAATAAATGCACATGGTTAAAAAACAATGAACTGTTACTTACTCAAAGCTATCTTGATCTTGTCTATGCTTCTTTCTCATTCGGCTACTAGGCCTAAATGTAGAAGAAAATCGTGGTAAAACGCTGTATCACAAAATACAAACTAGCACTAACACCAAAACAATGCAAAGGCAAAATTAGTACACATATTTCCAAGGTACAGTCATTTTTCAACTTATTTTCTATCTCAATTACATTCAGGGGAAAAAAAACAAATTAAAACATGTTTTGATTTATTGATACTCGGGCAAATGTAAATAAAATACTGCTTGTTAGATTGCAGGTTACACACGCATCTGAAGAAGTTGCAGCATAACACAAACCCTTCCATCTCTTCTCGTGTGAAAAGTGCTCATCTAAGATTTTCCCATGTCAGGGAAAAATAAATTAAATGTGGAGTTGTGCAATACATCTCTTCAAGAACAGAATACCTGTTTATGTGTCACCAGAAACTCTCATCCCAATTATCTGTTGTTGAATGATGGAATCACAAGAACCAGTTTTGTTAAACTATTGAATCTCTACAACAAAGACTAATTGCTCTGTAGTCCAGCATGGGGCAACTGGGAGTGCTCCTTGGGATAATACAGCTCTGATTTTCTATCAACAAGTATTTTGTGCACTTCTTAAACAGATAACAAAATGCTTTCAGTGCTATATTTAACCCCTTCGTGACTGACGACGTACAGTGTACGTCACCAGCATCGGGGCTGTTTAAACAGACTCCCGGTGACTTTTGCCACCGGGACTCTGGGGACTTGTAATGTGGAATATAACATGGGTGCAAAAAAATTAAAAAAAAGGCCTCAGTCATGAAGGGGTTAACAGACCAACGGGAGCAAAGAAGTTCATTGTTAGTGTTTTCACCTTTTCCACTTTAAAATTTGCACTTCAAACTTACCAAGTACAAGTCTGTGACAGAACATGTGTCCCATCCGGATTCGGCATGGGTAATGCATTTCCCAAAAACATGCCCATACTTTCTCCCCCAGGAACAGGGTTTGGAAGAAAAGGACTATACATACTGAAGCATGAGCCATTTGTGTTTAGGCCAGTAGCCATGGGAATACTGTTTATTTGGTTAAGTGGACTGGCAGATGTATCAAGGAAAGGAGAGTCTACAATCCCCGATGTATTGGTCCTCTGAAGAAACGAGTCTGGCTGATGATATTCCATTCTGCACAATGGTATTGCACTAAAAGCTCTGTCAATGGCAGCCATTCCAGCTCTCCCCTGTGAAAGAAAATGCAATTGTCACAAATAAAATCAATTTCAAATAGGTTTGAATGTTTGCCATAGAAAGAAAATAGAGCTGCCTAAGAAGATATCTGAACACAAACATAGTATGTGAATCTTATTTAGATTAGCGTTTAAATATACTTTAGAAGAGAACTATGAGCAATCCTTTTTTATGTCTTTAGTTCTCTTTTGGGTCACAGGAGGACATTTACTAATGTCCTCCTGTGACCCAAAACTCAGCAAATAGCGGGCTATTGCTAGATACTGCAGCGCAGGGCACGCTGCAGCAGGGAAGGATCCGGACAATATTGTTGGGATCCACCCTGACTGACAGCTGGCTCTGCCTCTCTAAAGCCAGAGCTAGCTGTGCCCGCCCCCTCCCGTCTGTCCCTCCAATGAGCACTGGAGGTACAGAGAAGGGAGGGGGGGAATCCCTACGGGAAACTGACAGTAAGAAGTCTGTGAGCTGAGCAATAAGCGGTTTGTGATCGCTCAGTCCTCAATCTATAGAGCCGCCATGTGACAGCTGCAGTGTCACATGTCGCCTCTAACTGTGGGGATGAGTGTATTTTGTTTCCCCCCTATAGTTCACTTTTGATGTACTCAGAAGTGAGATGATCATTGGCCAGAAATCCTCAAGTGTTTGCATGCCTGTTTGCATGCCATCAGACTGATTTTTGGCCATTCTCCAATCACAATGATTAAGTACTATACACTTCTGTTAGTATTGCCCCCTGCCATCTGCACTGATTTATTACAGGTATTTACATAGCACAGACAATTTACATAGTGCTTTACATGTGCACATTCGCTCTCAAGGAGCTTGCAATCTAAGGTCCCTATCTCACATGCACACATACGAGGGCTGATTTAGACAGGAGCAAATTAGCATGCCAGCATGTCTTTGGAGTGTGGGAGAAAACCGGAGTACTCTGAGGAAATCCATGCAAGCCAGGGAGAACATGCAAACTTCCTGCAGATAGTGATCCGGTGGTGATCCGAACCAGGGACCCCAGCGCTGCAAGGCAGAAGCACTAACCACTACCCCCACTGTGCTGCCCCGATAAAAACATGCACAGTCGAGAGACACCTTTCATCAAAATGCAGTCTGCTTTTGCAACAGCACTCCACCCTTTGATACAAAAGCTGGCTTCTACCTAAAAAAAAAACCCAAACACTTGCCTCATTCTCTAGGTTTGTACACTCCCTGCCAGTAATGCCAGCAGCCCTCATTGCTGCCTCCCGGGAAAACTGGGCACTCACTAACACTGCAGGAGCACATTCTTGTGCGATTTGGAGAACCCAGCTTTCCCGGAAGTCACCGAAACCTCCAGGAAGTGGGGAGAAGCTGGGGCCAAGGTAAATATTATATATTTTTTTTATAGAAGCTTTATTTTTACTGAGCTTTTTAAAGCATTTTAAATGGGAGGGGTGGGGGGGCTGTCAATAAAGCAGCCATTGCATTGTTTACATCTCAGCCCCAGGTCTGTACAGAGATAGAGTTGGAGCTGGAGGAAGAAATCTGACGTCACTGCACTTGTGCTCCATTGAGAGCTAGGAGCCCCTCTGCCTGTTACAGCCATACTTAGGCCCCATTCACATTGAGCAAATCGCGCATTTGTCACGTGATTTGCATTTTGCGCGATATCGCGCAAATGGTTGCATTGAGCAACCTAGAATCGCGGCAAAATCCACTCCAAAAAGGGTCCTGCTGTAGCAACGCACGACCCGCGTCAGCGACGGACAGAGCCCCATTGGATTGCATCGGAGAGCGATATCGTGCGGGAATTACCGCGCGATAAATCGTTCAGTGTGAACGGGGCCTTAGGGTGTAACATGAAACATTGTTGCTTTTCCCAACATCACACTTACCTGAATTGCAGGGCGCTTCCCCCAGGAGAGTCCTGTTGATTTTTTTTTTTTAAGAGACGAACTCCAGGATTAAAAAAGAAAAAAAAAAAGTGATTTCCCCCTTGTAGTGGGGGGTACCTGGTGAAATCACCCCACTTGTATTCCATTAATTACTTCCTCCAGGTCCACAAGAGTCGCTCCATGAGGACCTGGGATGTAAACAATGCAGGAACCTCAGCTACACTGATCGGCGGTTGCAATGCAAACATTTAATAAATGCACATTTTTTTAGTTTATCAATGTGGGTGCTCTTTATTCATTTTTTTTTAAAAGGTGGATTATGCCTTCATCGCACATTTTAAAGGGTCATTAAACCCTCGCACATTTTTGCATAGATCTATTGCTAGCAAGCAGTAGATATATGCAAAACGATGACAAAAAAAAAACCTTCAAAAGGGTTAATACTTAACTGTGTCTCCGCCACACGCTCCCGTCCGAACATCTAAACATCTCTCGGGTGGCCGCAAAGGATCTTGGGGCAGGCGCAAGCGCAGTTCAGATGTTCGGCCAGGGGACGAGGAGAGACACAAGATAAGTCTATGGAGCAGCGTGCACCCGCACAGACATGAGAGAAGAGGAGGAAAGAGGAGTCAGCGCTGAATCAGGGACCAGCACCAGCGCTGGAGGGACCGCCACAAAGCTCCTGGAAAGAAGATTATGATCGGATCAAGAGGCATCGTTTAAGGTAAGTCCATACATTAGCCTGCAAATAGGACACGTTGACTGGCGACACATACACATGGCCAATTGATGGTCTGGCAATAGCAAGGTGGCATCCAGCAAATTTGCATGTTTCTGGAGACGGGAACCTGAAGAGTGCAGGTCTATTTTGGGGACAACAATGGTGATCAGCTGTAAACTTGCACCCTTCCTGATGAACTTTACCCAAGCAGGCCCAGCCAGTGTCATTGAGGCACCTACAACCATATGAACCAATCCATCTGTAAATGGCCAGGCTGGGGTTACAATTCTCCAATGTGTGTCCAATATAGGTGTCTGCACGTCCATGACCCCCTCTGACGTTTTACAGAGCTGAACTCATTGGGAATATTCAAGTGGTCTCCCTCCTCTGCCTGCATTACTCTCCTGCTACCCTGGTCCTCCGCAAGGTGAAGTCAGGACAGGTGCTCATGGTGTCTTGTTTACTATCATAGCAGAGAACAGGCGGAACAATAACAAAAGCCCACGTGTGTACACAGCGACACTCACCCGTCACTAGGAGTCACCTCTATCTCCCCTCCTCTGACACTTGCGGACAGCACGGGCTCTCTCTCCTCACTTGTCCCTCTCACACTAATGCCGCGCACTGCTTCCCTCAGCCGCAGTTATCCATTACTGGGCGGAGCTTGTGCTTTTCTAGAACGCTCTGAACGTTTCCACTCGGATACCATAGAGGTGGCTCCTGGAAGAGGCTAGAGCGGACAACAGGAGGGGCGGGTTTTGGGGGATGTCCACGAGCTTACATTTCTTCCTTAGAAGTGGCTGCCAGAGGGCGTGGCCTAGAGGGTGGCTGCTGTGTCGCTGAACAGCGCCGACATATTGTTGGTTACCCAGTTACTTGTGCGGTGATCTGCAAGGGCAGTTAGAAAACATTTTACAATATCTGCTTAATCACTTTTAGATTTACTAACGGCTTTGTCGTGGGAGGCCCTGACTAATTTATATCTGGTGAGATTAAACCCAGGAGTTAAATCTTAAAAATGCATTGAAGTATGTTAACTATCAAAGCGGACCTTTACACCGAAAAATCTATCTATCAATGTATCTCTCTATGTATGAAGATTAATAATAACATAGACATGTTAGGTGTAAAATGCTAAGTCCAAATCCCATTCTCACTGCCATGGTCTCAAAACCACAAGGTATATGTGGTGCCCAGGTGACCACACGGATGGCGCCGTCCAAAACACTAATAGTAAATAAAAGTAATTCACCGGCACACACTTGAAGGGTTTTTAAAGTATTGATATGTTTATTGAATACCCAATGTCACATACTGTTATACAGTGCTAACGTTTCGGGTCCGCACAGGGATCCTTCATCAGAGCAACAGTGTCACCTTATGGCAACGTCACCTGACATGACGTCATTGGAAGTCTCGATGAATTGGAGCTTTGGACACAACAAGAAGGCACGTAAAATATTAGTTCGCTGCAGCCCTAAGTATTACTATTACATGCATTGATGTGATGCATTCCATTCATTCTAAATGGCACACCAACACACCTGCTGTGTGCGCCAAAATGCTGTGAGTACAATTTTTGGTCCATTGTGATGCAACACCCATTAACTCACTTGCTTTTAATACATTACAGCAGACCTGGCTGGTGTGAATGGGCCCCCAAAGCGACTCTGTTGCCACCTAAATTAAATTAAAATTATGAAGGGTATGAGTATGAAGGTGACACACAGGGAGATGAGTGGACACACAGTGAGAGTAGGGGAATTCAATAACTCAGAGACATTGGGAGATAAGGGGATGTCAATGAATGGGACACACATGTAGATGAGGAGACACTTATAAAGGTCACACACAGGTAGATTGACTCCAATGAATGAGGTGCATGAGGAGATAAGGGGGCTCCAATGAATGAGACACAAGAGGGGACTCCAATGATTAAAACACATGGAGAGATGAGGGGACCTTAATGAATGAGACACACAGGGAGGAGAGGTGTCTCCTATCCCATCGTCCGAATCGCAGCCAGAGATCTGGTGCTGCGTTTGTTTCCATATCGCATTACTATTCTCCATTCATAGAATAATATGTAAACTGACATGGGGCCTGGCCTCTGTCTGCGCATACACAAGATCTGGCACCACACCATGGGGGGGCTGACAGCAGGAGCCAGGAAGAGACAGCTGGCTCCCCATGATGTAGGAAGGCAGCGTGGGACAGGACCTGTAAGAGGACAGCGGTGAGAAAAAAGAGAACAACATTGAATTCATTGGGCTTGTAGGTATGTTATTACAGCATAGTAAGAGCACCAAAGGTAAGTGGGGGAAAATATTTATTTGGTAGAATTAAGTTCCTCTTTAACGACTGAATGTGTGGGTGACAGCTGGCAGGTGTCCTTA